GTGTGCGCGAGCAGGCGCTGCCAGCCTGGCTTCTGCCGGGCAGTCAGGTTCCAGGAGCTGGAGGACCTAGGCGCCCGTATCCTCTCTGCCTCCGCCTCCCTCCTGCTCTCACCTGCGCCAATTAGTCTACTCGCCTTCAAGGCCAGTGGCTACAGCCAAGACGGAGAGGGGACAGCACCTGAGGATACAGAGCTAGCGTTGGACTGCCCTTTCACCCTCTAGGTGATGAGTGAGGTCGGAAGATCTGAAGATTTAAAAAGCAACGGGAGCCTACGTATTGAATGAAAGACCCAGTGCGAAGGCATCACCATGAACACGAGCAGTAAGTGGGTCCTCCTCTCCTTTGCCATGGGAACAGGGTGGGGGCGGGAGGTGCAGGAGCCTGCGCTGGGGCTGCCTGGAAGGAGGAAGGAAGCCTGGCCCGGGGTGGACACCAGGCCCCCAGACTCCTCCTTGGTCCTTTCTGTGCTCCCAGGCACAAGGATATGGCTTCAGCTTTTCATGATAATTTAACTAATGTTTTATCGGCAGCGTCACTCGCCTCTGTGGGGAGGCTGCTTGTCTCCTTCTAGCAATGCCTGGGAAGGCCTAGGAAGCAGTAGTGTGGCCATTGTCTGACTGTGGGGGCTCTGAGGAGACCTCCCGGCACACAGCTGGAAAGCCATGGAAGGCCCAGCTTGCCCTGGAGCTGGGAGGAGCAGGGAGGCTGGCCCTCCCGCTGGTGGGTGGGTGGATGTGGGCAGGCCCTGGGATAGGAACCAGCAGTTTGATAAACAAATCATCAGGAAGCCACCTTTGGATCTGGAGGTTGTGAAATAGCCCGCTCTTGTGTGCAGGCAGCCCCATGGGCCCAGGGCTGATTTTTTCACACACCTGCAGGCTGTCTAGCCATCCTGTGAAAGAGGGAAAAAGAGACAAGCCTTTGGCCAATGTTTCTAACATGCTGGAGGCAGCAACTGCTTTGCAGAGCCAGGACCAGACATTTTGCTGCTGAGCTGAGCCTCAACTGCTGAGAAATGCAGTAAGAAGTACAAGGAGGCCCACTCTATTTCTCTTCAACATAATTCCTTTGCCCATGGGCTGCTGGGGCAGGTGGCCTGGGCACCACCCTAGAGGGAGGTCTGGGTTCAAGCCCCTCCTCCTGCCACTGGGCCAGCTTAGCTTGCCTGGGTTATTCAGCAGCAGGTGGGGTTGTTGAACTGGAGAACCCCTAGGAACGTTCACTTCCCTGGGTCTATGACTTCGCCGTCTCCTCTCTGGATCTCAGATTGCTCATTGTAAGATGAGAAGAGTTGAATTAGAGGTCTTGCTAAGCTAAGAATCTGCAAGTTTCTTCTAAAAAAGCTAGAACTGAGAAGCAAGGCCCGAAAAAATCAGTACTTCTGTGTCAGACCAAACCCAGTTTCTTCCCCTCCCTCCATTTCAGGGCTGTTGGCATGGAGGGGAGGAAAACAAAGCGAAAGCCAGGGAGATGGAAATGAAATATATTTATTTACTATGTATTTGTATGACTCATCTCTGCCGTCTTCCTTTGTGTATTACATAGCTATGCTAAGCAAGCGATTGTAGCTGGACTCCCTCTGCCTCTTACAGCCCAAGCATTTTGACTCTTGATTGTGATCATCTGGAAAGGGGCTGGGGCTTCACACCAGGCTGAGGAGAAGAGCAATATTAGGTAGACCTGACCACCTAGTGGGCCACGTATTTGCATCCGTGTGCTTTCGGACGAGTAAAGATGTGAACTGCCTGTCACTTCCCACTATCTCTAGGGAAAATATGTATTTATGGGAGCTCTTTCGCACTAAATGACAGAAGAGAAAGATGGCTCATCTGTTTTTCACGGAACCTAAGAAATAAGGAAATAAGTGGCTTGCCCTTCTCTCTGAAATTGTAAGGAGCTCTTGTCCCATTAGCAGCACTGAGTATTCCTAAAAGAAGGAAACGGAATTTACTTTTTTTTAGACATAACAACCAATAGAATTGAATACTGCGGAAGAAGAGAGTGCATTTTTGTTAGTCCTCTTCTCCCACAGTATTCAATTCTACTGGTTGTTACGTCTTAAAACCCAATCCTCATGCCCGCAGTTAAACCTAAGAGAAACTCTTACTCAATTTTTCTTTCCCTTCCTCCTACCGAGGCCTCACTCTTTACCAAGCACTGTGCTATGCATTTCACCTGCACCTTCTCCCCAGAATCTCCCACCCAGCCTGTGAGACGGGCATTATTGCTCCAGTTTTACAGGTGAAACCTTTGAGCCAAAGTTCAATAACTTCTTCAAATCATGCAGGTGATTGTTGGATTATGAAAGGTACTTGGGTGCATAACATTTTTGACAGTGCGGACTGTTCCTAATGAGAGATTTAAATGTCACCATTGAGGTGGGGGCGGGGCAAAGCATGCGCTGATTATTAGGCTGCTAATCGCTTCACCTGTGGAGCGGTGAAGTGGAGCGTGCGCTGCGCGTGAGTTGATAGAGTTCACGCCTTGAAATCAGGTGATCCCAGGTTCTAGTTCTTTCGGCTGTATGGTCCTCAGCATAATTGTCTTATCTGCAAAATGGGAATGGTGCGACCTACCTCAGCACAGAACGGAGATAAATGTTCATGTGTAAAATTGAGAGAGTGGTATCCGGGCAGGGCTGGTGTCTTGTGAGCGATGGTGGCCAGGCTGTCATCATCACTGCAGTGGTCATTGTGGTTCTTGTCCTTGGCTTTATGACATTAGCAGGCAAGTCACTCACCCTCTCAGTGTCACAACTTTGTCATAAATTCAGATGAATATGGAAGTGTGATCTTGAGGATTAAACAGGATTGTGACAGATTGCTTTGTAAATATGTGTAAATTGTTTTTATTAATAAGAAACACGTGTCTCAGATGGCAAATCCAGGGTAGTGCCCAGTGACTCATCAGAGTACATTTTAATTTCATCAGTATTCTTTCTCCTGAAATCTAGCTGACCTTTAGCACGCCACAAAGCAGGACCATGAGAGGAAGGGGTAATTTTGGAGATGACCGAGTAGGGTCCAGACCTGGCAGAATGCAACAGGTGGGCTCCAGCCCTTGGAGCCAGTAAGGCAGACGGGGAGGAGGGCTCCTTACAGAAAGAACAAGATGCCAAAGGCATGAGCAGGACTCCCAGGCTAGTACTGACATGGTTCCTCCCATGGGCCAAAGGCTTCAGGGTAAACAGAGCCATCATTTCTACCTTGGCCTCTGTGGGGTGGGACTGCTTCCCCTGCAGACACCCAGCCTAATTCCAAGGATCTGTCTTTTGACTCCTGACCTGCTGAGGCAGCCCCTTAACTGGCCTCCCTTCACCCACTCCAGCCCCCTCCAGTCTCCCCCCACCCCACTGCATCATGCTCTGCTTAAAATGCAGATCCCATTGCTCTTAAGATGCAAGAGGAAAGCCCTCAGCAAGGCCTGCAGGGTCCCCTGTGGCCCGGCCTTGCTCACGGCCCCAGCTCATCCACACTGCACCATTCTCCAGTTCCCATCATGTTTGCCTCCTTCCATTCCCCTGAGGACCTGTTCCTTCCTCCTGGAAAGCTCTCTCTCCCTCCAGCACCAGCCCCTCTGCCCAACACCCCTCTTCATCCAGGCTGGCTTCCTCCCACTACCATTCCCCAGTTCAGCTCACATCCCCCAGTGTTGCTCTCCGTGCACCTTGGCCCTGTTCTTTAGGAACCTTGTCTCCGCCATCACACACTCACTCCTGTGGTCTCTGGCCATTTTCCTGCACCCACAGAGCAAGGAAGGCACTGACTCGAGACCCCTCACTCTCACACAGTCCCCAAAGCCATGAGGGCTTCACCACCTAATGTGCGTTTTCTTACACAACAATAAATCTTTGGTTATTCTACGTCAGTGTCTCCCAGCCCCACGTTGGCCCCAGGAGTTCCCAGGTCAATTCAGTCTCCACTGGGTCCACAGCCAGGGGCGTTGACTTGACCCCGGAGCGTCAGAGGCCCTGACGGCCTCTCTTGCCCTTTTAGATTCATGCATATACAGTACCAGGTTGATCATCTTCCTGAAGGCTTCCTGAAAGCCATGGCTCCCCTACGTACAGAGCCCAGTGCTGGGTACAATACCAGCGAAAAAGGCTAATTTTCAACTAGAGGATTTGGCTCTTACGACACCATCATTTCAGAACTTTGCTCTCTACGCAATGGCCAGCTCAACTCCAGGAGAAAGGAGCTGAATCTGAAGTTGAGTTAAGATCCTAGAAGAGAGGCAGAAAAGGTCTGAGGGCCAGGATTTTGTAGTTGTAAGAATAGAAGGGAGAAGATCCTTTAGGAGTTAACGTCCGCGTGGCCTTGCACCTGACTGAGTTATAAGGTGAAGGAGGTGGGGAGTCGGCGTTAGGGTCTCAGCAGGGAACAGATGGGCGATTTGAGGGGAGTTAAACAGGAGTCTTTGCCAGCGTGCGAGGAGGGTGTAGGGAAGAGAGCAAGGAGAAGTCAGAGTGGCCCAGGACCGTTCTTACCACGACTGCCCCCAGCCTAAGGAGGCAAGAAAGAAAGGAAGCCGGAGGCCCAGCTTGCTGCAGGGGAAGGTCTGCAGGGAGGAGTGGTGGCCCCGGGCTCCCAGAAGGCAGCTCGCCCTCGGCCACACCCGAAGGAAGGAACTGGGGAAAGAGTATCCCGACCTCTCTCTCCTTCCTCCCCTGGATTTCCTGCGGCGCTCCCCAACCCCACCCCCGGGGCCCAATCCAACCAGGAGCCACAGGGCAAGGTAGGCAATTGATGGGCCCATCAGGGTGAGCCTGACCTGGGACATCGCGGGGTCGAGAAGGAGCAGAGTGGCCCTCAGGAGGCGAGGGATTTCAGAACTGATGACACCCAGACAGGGAGCATAGTGACCTTCCTCAGCTAATGTCGTTGCCCAGGTCAGGAACTGTATGAATTCCTGAAGAAAAGGATCCATTATAAACACAAACACAGGAGGGTGCCCTCTAAAGCAATTCTCGACTTACAAAACAGATGAAATAGAGATGATTGTATATTTTATAAGGATAGAGACTTTTTTTTTAATCAGTGCTTACTGGGTGAATGGAGCACTTGTAGACAGATGACCACTTGAAGCTAAGTGGGGGTTAGAGGAAGAGTGTAAGGAACAATGTTAAAACCACCCAAAATGAGTCTAGCACATCTCTGCAAATCCACAGTGTGACTTCAGGAGCACTTGCATTGCGTAAAGGAAGCAGTGTCAATTCTGAACTCCAGCTTTCCTATCTGGCAAAAGCTTTATCTGGCTAACATCTGCTGTTTCGAATGGTCAACAACTGGCCGGTACCCAGCATTAGCCAGATACCATTGTAA